AGATCTCGCCGGAAACTACCACCTCCGATCGGCGCGTGAGAGCGCGTGGGGTGATGTTTTCCGGTGGTTTTGGCTGGGGTTTGGCCGCGGGGGCTTTCTGAGCCTCGTGGTGGTGTTGGTTTTCGCACAACACCCACAGAAAGAAAAAAGAATAACAAAATCAGACCCAACAGTCACCGGAAATTGACATAGACATACGGTGACTTGTTTGTTCTCACCAATGCTCTGATACCATGTGAGAAATATATAAGAAAAATATTATTGAATTGTATATCTAAATAATTACATTGAGACCCTATTTAGAGACACTACATTGGAATCCTTTTCCAACTAGGATTCCTATTCCTATTCCTATTCCTATTCTAAATAGGAAATACTTATTTCTATTCAAACATCTCTGTCCAAACAACCCACATTAACGCGAGCGGAGCCACATTCCATGCCCTACGTCTTCTCCTCCTTCTCCCAGCTAAACATCACTATCTTTCACAATGTTTGGCATTACCCATGAAGTGCCAAACCACCTAAACATATCCCATGATACCTTTTTTCATGGTTAGCCCACAATGTAGAAGAAGATGATTCACATCCTCGCCCGCCTCCTTACACAAGTAACACCAATTGATGCAGGCAACCTTTCCGCCTTCTAAGATTTTCCGTTATCAAGATCACCCCTCTAGTTGCTAGCCAAGTGAAAAAATACACCTTGGGTATCCATATTGCATTGCATGGAAAAACATTTTTTTCCTTGACCAGAAATTTCTCATAAAAGAACTTAACAGAGAACAGTCCACTATTCCCCTAACCCCACCACAAAGCATCGGGATTATCAACCAGAGTGACTTGCCTATGGTATCAGTGTGCACTGAATGCTGATATGAAGAAAATAGAGATAAGGGAGGAGAAATTCTTGGCAGAAGTTGTATTTTCACAACTTTTCCTAATGGGGTCAAAATTAAACACTAGCCTTTCAAAAGGCCACCCTGCATAAATTCCTGATCAAATTATTAGGAGAAATAGGGCATACTGGTTCATAAAAATTAAAATGGAACTTCAAATTAAGTACATCATAATCTCAATGAACAGTAAGAACTATAAATTTGACCCTTTTATTTTAGTATTCAATGATTAAAAAGAATCAAGAGAATAAAAATACAATAATTAATCATAATTAGAACTAAACTCTACTAACTGTATATTGAGTAAGCTATTCCAATTAAGAGTTTTTTTGGATAAGCAATACCGATGTAGTAATCATGAAAACAGAAGATGTGATTAAACTTTTATCGTTATGACTATATGAGCACATGCATACATGCAGAGTACTATGAAACTGAATATTCAAAGTTAATGAGTATATTTGCAAGATGTTTGCAGTTGAACTAATTTGAAGAAAATCCCATGAATTACAGTTTACCAATGAACTAGCTACAAGTCGTCATCTACTTTTTCTGAAGGAAAACAACCCACAAGAGAAAATGGAAATCTCCAGCATTCTCAACCATTTGAGGACATACGCACCTGATTTGCAGAAAAAACAGTTTTCGTATCACTTTCACGCCATAGTCTACTGCGATTCCATGGCTTGAGCTGCTCAGCATCACGTGCCACTTGCCAACCCATTTGTACTATCCAGTCATGCATCTCAATAGTTCCTTCTGAGACATATAAAAGTGATCTTTCAGTAAGGATGTTTATTCCCATTTCTGATATGTTCAGTTTTTTCATCACATATTTTTTCTGTTTTCCTCTAAAGAAGCATGCAATGTGAAGAAACATATCTTTGTATATGCCATAAGCATCTAGACTTAAGCTGAGTAGCTTAACAATTTTCCCATCTCCGAAACTGTTGAGTCTATGTAATGCACTGTGCTCTTCTGTCCCTTGTTTGTAAAGAAAAGAACCCAACATTTCCAATGCTACGGGTAAGCCTTTCGCATAATCTACTATGCAGCACGAGAGCTCTTGAAACTCTTTAACAGGAGTTCCTTGTTGAAAGGCGTGCCAACTTACAAGTTCTAAAGCCTCATGATTAGTCAGTTCTGGGACACGATATAACTCATCATGCTTGCAAAGTAAATCACTGTTTCTAGTGGTTGTAATGATTCTACTCCCATCCCCAAACCAACCATGCTCTCCAGCCAAATATTCCAATTGGTGGCAGTTATACACATCATCAAGAACAATTAAAACCTTCTTGAACTGAAGTATTTGGCTAATATCGACTTCTTTATTTAAACTGGCTACATTCACAGGATGTTGCTTCAAGATTTTTATAAGAAGCTTCCATTGCAAAAGTGCTGGGCCTCCTGGTCCAAGCTTTTCTAAAGATCTCCCAACATTAAGAAAGCAAGACCCTTCAAATTGGCAAGAGATCTCATCAAAAATTTCTCTTGCAACTGTTGTCTTCCCCACACCACCCCTTCCCCATATCCCGATAAAAGAAACACCGCCAAATTCAACTTTCAACAATGATTTTACTTCCTCTACACGGGATTTGATTCCCACAGGATATTTTGCAATTCTTGGAACCTGACATATCTTGTTCGTAATTTCCGCAATACATTTTCCATCCTCCCTGTGTTAAATAGAATATATCAGAAGAATAAATATTTGAAACATAACAAACGATGAGGAAGCGAAAAGGAATGGTCGAGTTCCAGCAAAAGCAACATTAACTTCTCTAACATTTGCAAAAACAGCACCTGAAGCTGACAACAGATATTGTCAAATATACTTTTTGGAATAGTTGTCTTCTCTATGGCACCCATTCCTCACATCCTCGCCTAAGAAATATTTCAATCCCATTAAAGAACCTTACTTGACCCGCATAAGATGAATTCCAGAGTATTTGTTGTTTAGCTGCAGCTTCAAATCTTGCAAGCCAAGCTTGTATAATACTTTTGTAGCTTGAGCTCCACCTAAAATAATTCTTTCAAAGCTGGAGCTAGAACTCATTTGTCAGCTTATTTGTAGATGATGAGAAGTTTGCTTCTCATTTTTGCTCTAGACTTACCAATTTGGGTTAAAAAGTTAAGTGATTTAGTCAACCAAGACGAAATACTAGCTCAATGATCTGAGACCAATCAATTCAATATTTGCTGGAAATATCAACTACTTGCATTACAAAATTCAACCACCTAGAAGGTCAAATACCCAAGATCCACAAGTAGTTCCCTCATTTAACATACAACAACCATTAAGATCTAATTTCTCAAACGAGGAAAAGAAAGAAGGGACGAATGGAGATGCAACTTATCCAGGGAAATTAACTGGCAATGATGTAAGCGACATTATGAGAACAGCTTAGCCTTTAAATATGGAACAAAAAAAATATTAGTTATACTTGGTGCTTAAGAAATTAGGGAGAAGAGATTGAAAAGTTACTGGAGATCTTGATCGAAAATTTACAGTACTTACGTATGTCACAACTTCCGTAAATTCACAACTCTCGGCATAATTACAACAGACAATCAAATCAACCTTAGTTTTCTCCTTCTCATATCAGGTCACCTAGTCATGGCCTAATCATATCTACAATGATTCAAAACTCTCCTGCATAATATGAAGCAATGGACCGGTTTCAGTCAGCTCAGATGAACTAGTAGATAATAACTTGATGAAGTATCAATTCTGTCACGGTTTTCAACTTACAGGAGACCTAGTGATCAAAAGAGGCGGTATTTAAATGACATACAAATTGTACAGGCATCAGATGACCTAATCCCTAGATCTAAGTTGGGAAAACTTAAGTCAAAATTGTAGCAGCTTCACAGTTCTCTATGTTGAAATCCATCACCTATTAGGGAGTTCATCTACAAGGTTTTTTTACCTAAAGGTATCCTTTATTTTACGAATAAAAAAAGAGAGAGTGTCAAAATGAACATGTCTCGCAAAATTGAATCAAACTCAAATGTTCTATTGAGCTATACTCACCAATGGGAAAATTGAGCTCCAGCAAAATAATCTCTTGATCCTGCCATGTCATCTGCTATACGGAGAGCGTCCTTCCACCTCTGCACCTTCTCCAAATCAAAACCCTTGATATCTGCCTCAAAAGTCTCTAATGGACTTAAGCCATCTGATGGCTTAACTTTATAGAAGACAAAGAAGAATTCCTGTCCCTTGTTGTCAACGCACTCCATGATCTTAGTGAGTTCTTCCAAGCACCGTGGGGAGGAAGTATAGTCCTTGGAAAAGATGGTAACGGCAATCCTTGATTCCTCGATGGCTTCTAAGATTTCTGTTGAAATTTGTTCTCCCCATTCAGAGTTGACATCAGGTTTGAATACGTTGATTCCTATGTCTTTCAGACGTTTGTGAAGATCAGCAACAAAGCTTTTGTCCAAGTCTTGCTGTCTAAAATTAAAGAATACATCAAATTTCCATTTTTGGGAAGCCATAGGGGAATTTCAGAGTTCTGCTAATCTGCGAAATTATGAGAATGAATATGACAACAATCATTTATCCCAAAGACTCAAAGTAAACGCACAAGACCTGAAATAGCTTATGGGTCAACTTTGAGAAAATGACCAAAGATGGTCCAGGCTTTACTTCGATATTTAATATGTAACACATGTATTTATTATGGATTAATTGAAATAGTTTTTAATTTATAATAAAAGAAGTTCATTTTGATTCTTTATTCTAAATCTAGCAAATTTATTAAAAAAACATTAAAATTAACTATGAATCCTATCTGCCTAACAGAATACATCTTTGTTTTCTTCTTTGTTATTTCCAAAGAAATAACTCCGTCAAATCTAACACTATTCTCTCTGGAAAGAAGAAATAACATTTTTTTATTAGAGAAAATGATGTTAAATTTCATGACAATGCTCATACAAATTTATTAAATTATTTTGGCAAAACTTAGTTCTTGCTCCTTGTATAGAATGGGAAGAAGACGTGTGACTTTAAAAAAAAATCATCGCTCATTTTTTCACTCCTCCAAAGCCGGCCAAACTCAAAAAAACCAATCATTTTTTTAATTCAATCATCATCTCATGGTTTTGGTGACGATCATTTCTTAGATTCTGTTGAATTGTATCGAATTCATTTTCTATTTTAAAGCGAACACTTAAAAAACTAAAAAACTTTCTCTTTTTACTTTATTAATTCACATAATATCTTGAATGATTGAGAAGAAGAAAAAGTTATCACACAATCGACGATCTTATTTTGTCGAATAAGCATTCTGAATCTAAGTTGACTGGATAAAAGAAAGATTGTTTTTTTTTCATTTGGGTCGTGTGAATTGCAAAAAAATGAGGTAATTTTTTTTAAAGCGATTTGGTATTTTTTTTAATTAAAAAAAACAGTTTTAGAATTACAATTGTAGGCACTATAAAGAAGAATAACTTTTTAATATAAGAGAATAGTTGGAAAAATATATTATTCTCTATAGGGGTGTTCACGGTTTGGATAAAAATCGATCCAAACCGAAAACCGGAACCAAACCGATAAAATAAAACCGATTTTATTTAGGTTTGGTTTGGTTTGGTTTTAGATTTTTGAAAACCG